GCCAAGCACCGTGGCCCTGCCTTACCCAACTGCCCTCTCCTGACTCAGCCCGCACCCCCAGCTCACTTCCGACTGCTCAGAATCTGGGCATGTGGCTCTTGGCTAATGACGGTGTGAGTTTTCCTTCTGTCAATACTTTTCCTCAGAGGGCAGGTGGGAGCTGGTTAAAAGGCCCTTGGTCTCCCACCTAAGGCACACGTTGTGCTCAGTGAGGAGTAAGGGAGGTCCCGCCCAGCAGAGCAAGAGCCACTGCTTCATGGAAACCTCATCCCACCCCAAACACGTGGAAGCAGCAGCCCGGCCCCTTGGGCTGGTCCACATCCAACCCCACTAAACCCTACACTCCTGAGATGTGTAGAGCCCACACGGGAGGCCCTGGCAGGGAATCAAGCGGACAGTGAGGGACCCAGAATCGGAGAAGGCCATCTCCACCTTCATGGCATGCATGGGCCAGGGGGAGACAGCTTAGGCAGGAACTGTAGCCCCACCAGGCAGGTGACAAGAACAAAAGGGTCTCAGATCACCAAAGAGGGAAGAAGCCCCTCTAATGGGGGTGATGGGATGGGATCAGGAAATGGGGAGCATTTGAGCTGGACTTGGAAGGAGGGAGGAGTCTACGAGAGCAAAGGGACTGAGTTGGCCCTGGCTCCTTAGTCTCGCAGGGCCGCGCTGGCCCAGCCTCATGGGGCGCGTGGCCCATGGCCTGGTGGGGATGCTGTCACCAAAGTGATGGCAGGGAACTGATCAGCCGGGCTGAGCCAGCACCCAAGACAAAGACTATCTGGACCCCCCGGCTGGCCCATGCCAGGGTTCAGATGCCCCAGTGGGGTTCCTGTCCTGTGTCTGGGGCCCACACCGCACAGTCACAGGAGTGTGGAGCCGGCAGTCGTGCCCTGCACGCGCCCACCTAGCGTGGCCCACTGAGTCATGGCTGGCTCATGGGTGACCTTCAGCACTCATTCCCAGCCACCCCAACTTGGGAGCCTGGAAGGATGGAGAAGCTGTCCCCACTCCTGGGCTCCTCGCTCCTGGTAGCAGCATGAGCCATGCTGTGCCCACCTTCCAGATTCTTCCCTGGCGGTGGATGGAGCACACAGAGCCTGGAGTCCCAAGAAGGGACTCCAGTCCCAAGAAGGGACCTTGCAAATTGTATGTGTGGAAGAAGACAAGCAGGGAAGTGGGCGGGGGGCCTGGGGCGGGATACAGGCCAGGAGAGAGGGGAAGGGCAGCTCCTGGACAACCCTGCCCCAACCCTGCTCCCAAGAGGCCACTCCTTGGATACCCGACGTGTGCCCCCAGCCCACCTGACTGAGGTCGGAGCAGAAGCCTTGGCCAGCGGTGTCTATCTGCACCACATGGAGACCGTCCCCTGCCTGCCATAAAACAGAGGGCACAGCAGGCAGGCCATGAGCAGACCCTCCCTGCCTCCCCGAAACTCCCAAGCCCTGCAGACACCAAGCCCAAGAGGCAAGCCCACAAGTTTCAGCCCCCCAGGGGGAAGGGGGGGAGAAGGGGTCTGTGTGGGGTGGGTGTAAGCAAGGAGGGGCCTAGCAACTCACACACTCTAGGAAATGCCCTGCTAGGTGCCATGAGGAAGGAACGGGGCAGCCTACTTGGGAAGCTGAGGCAAGAGGATTGCTTGAGCCCAGGAGTTTGAGGTTGCTGTGAGCCAGGCTGATGCCACTGCACTCTAGCCCGGGCAACAGAGTGAGACTCTGTCTCTAAATAAATAAATTAATTAAATTAAATAAACTTTTAATAAGCTCTGTCACCAGCCTCAGGCCTGAACAGCCTGGCCAGACAGGGCTCAGCATGGCGCCTGGCAGGCCACTGCAGCTCCTGGGCCAGGAGAGCTGAGCACCTGCCCCATGGGGGACTCTGGGTGTGGCTTCTCCTGCTTCCAGGTGATGGAGGGAAGGACATGAAGACAGAGATAGACAGCGACAGACTTGAAATCACTAAGAGAGTAGATTTTAAGTATTCTCATCACAAAAAAATAGTGTATGAGGTGATGCATATGTTAGGTGACTTGATTTAGTTCTTCCACAATGTTTGCCTATATCAAAACATCGTGTTGTACACTGTAAATAGATAGAATTTTTACTTGTCCATTAAAAACAAACTTTTTAGGCCGGGTGTGGTGGCTCACGCCTGTAATCCTAGCACTCTGGGAAGCCGAGGCGGGAGGATTGCTCAAGGTCAGGAGTTCAAGACCAGTCTGAGCAAGAGTGAGACCTTTTCTCTCCTAAAAATAGAAAGAAATTCGCTGGACAGCTAAAAAATATATAGAAAAAATTAGTCAGGCATGATGGCGCATGCCTATAGTCCCAGCTACTTGGGAGGCTGAGGCAGGATTGCTTGAGCCCAGGAGTTTGAGGTTGCCATGAGCTAGGCTGACGCCATGGCACTCTAGCCTGGATAACAGAGTGAGACTCTGTCTCAAATTAAATAAATAAACAAACAAATAAATAAAATAAAATAAACTTTTTAAAAAGCATAAATACAGAAATCAATAATAGCATCCTATAAAACAATGATTTTGTTTTGTTTCATTCCCACATTTACCATTTTATTTTAAGAGCATTAGTTTAAAAAGAAAACACAGAAAAGTGAATATGACCAGAAGAAAAATAGAACATGCTAAAATGTAAATGCATACAACACATTGGTCAATGCTATTAAAAGTTTAAATGAAAATGCTAAAGAGTGAAACAGAGAGAGAGAAAGAGCACATGCAACAGAAAAAAAAGAAAGAAGACAAAGAAAAAAGAAAAAGACCACTACATGCTTATTAGAATGGCCAAAATCAAAAATGCTGACACCTCCAAATGCTGACAAGGATGTGAAGCAACAGGAACGCTCATCCATTGCTCATGGGAACCCAAAATGGTACAGCCACTTTGGAAGACAGTTTGGCAAGTTGCATACACAACTGAACACGCTCTTACCATCGAGTCCACCAATCACACTCCTTGGTATTTACTCAAAGGAGTTGAAAACATACGTCCACACAAAAACTTGCACCCTGATGTTCACAGCGGCTTTATTCGTAATTGCCAAAACTTGAAAGCAACCAAGACGCCCTTCAGTAGGTGAGTGGATTTAGAGTGATGCATCCAGAGAATGGGATATTACTCTGCGATAAAAAGATATGAGCTCTCATGCTGTGAAAAAGCATGGAGGAAACTTTAATGCATATTACTAAGTGAAGTGAACCAATCCGAAAAGGCTACATATGGTGTGATGATTTCAACTATACGACATGCTGGAGAAAGCAAAAGTATGGAGACAGTAAAAAGATCAGTGGTTGCCAGGGGTTGGGGGAGGGACGAATAAGAGCACGGAGGATGCAAAAGGACAGTGATACTACTCTGGCACTATAATGATGGACACATGTCATTACATCTTTGTCCTAAGAGCAACCCTAATGGACTTTGGATAGTAATGATGTAGCAATGCAGGTTCATCGGCTATAACAAATGCACACTGTCCTGTGGGACATTAATAGTAGGGGAGGCTGTGGGTGTGTGGCCACTTGGGGTGTATGGGAACTGTCTGTACCTTCTGCCCAATTACGCTGTGAACCTGAAGCTGCTCTAAAAATAAAGCTTATTAAAAAAAACAAAAAAGAAAAGGAATAAGAAAAAGAACAGGCCAGTTGCAGGTATGTCCTTCTTTAAGCAACCCTAGGGTTACACAAAAGGTTTTGCTCATTCGTTTTGCAAAAGAACACCCACAGGATTCCTTCCAGCTCTGAGCAAATTCGAACGCTGACCCAATTTGCAGAACTTTGCAAATATCCGGCATCCACGTGTTTTCCGAGGAAGGCCTGCAGGTAAAGCAAGGAGTCCCGGGCCCACGACAGGCGTGAGAAGCCCGCACTCTGCCTTCTGCCCCGGGGATAGGCTGGCATGTCCTGGCCCGTTCCCTGCCAGGCAGCCTGACATGGCAGCGAAGACACAGGCTTTGGAGTGAGACTGGCAGGGGTCAGAACCAGGCGATGATATTTACTGGCTGCGTGACCTTATGAACTGTCGGGGCCTTGATTTTCTCATCTATAAAATGGGACTAATAATAGCTTCTTCACAAGCTGTTATGAGGCTTGCAGGACACACACATCAAGCACTTTCATAAACATTCGCCTCGCCCCGGCTGTCCGCATTCCTCCTCTACACTCACTTGCCGTGGTCAGTCTGTCACTCGCTGCCCACGCGGGCCCCTGGCGGGCGAGTCCTTGGCTCCTCCGTCCAGCCTCCCACGTGGAGGCAGACGCCATGGTAGAGAACAGGAAAGCGGGCCCCACTATTTCCTCCAGAAACACATCTTCTGGTAGGACCAAAGCTAAAGTTATCCATCCTTTCGTGAACCGACATCCGACAATTCCATGCCCAGGCAGCTCATTGCACACTCCACGCACACTGAGAGAACTGGCCCGTGCTTGGGACCGACCTCTCTTCTAAACCGTTTGTTTCTTAAGTTCTATCCATAAACGAAGGGTCAGCAAACTTTTCCGTAAAGGGCAACACAGTAAATATTATAGGTTTTGCGAGCTATTGTGTCTCTGTTGCAACTACTCAACTCTGCATTATGCTACAAATGCAGCCATGGGCAATATGTAAAAGATGGGTGCAGCTGTGTTTCAATAAAAGTTTATTTACAAAATAAGGTGGCAGGCTGGATTGGGCCTGGGGGCCATAGTTTGCTGACTATAATAGGTGTATATGTGAAGGAGTGCCCTCGCCCATGAGTAACAACAAAAGGGTGACCAGAGGCTCCTAGCCATGTGTGGTAGAGCATGCACACACACATGCCATGCACACACATGTGCATCCACACACATGCACACACACGTGTGCTCCTAGCCATAGGGGGTAGTGTACACAGACACACATGCATGTACACACACATGCACAGACTGCACAGAGTCAATTAGCTATGCCAGCCCAGTGACTAGTACAAACGTCACACTTCATATGATATACATGTATGTCTTTATTTATTTGATGGATGACAGGATGAATGAGGGTAGAAGCATGTACCACGGCAGGGGAGCAGGACTGGGGTCCCTACAAATGGAAGATCATTGAAAACTTCTCACCATGTGGCTTTGGGATGTGGTTCTGTGCTCTTTATCTGGACCGCAATAGAGCTACTAAGTTGGAGACTGTGATGCATCACACAGAAGGATGAAGCCACTCCTGCCACAACCTGGTTCTGCCAGAGCTGGGAATGGGACTAGCCTCTCCCGCCTTCTCTGGGGAGGAAACGACATCACCCGCCTGACCACCCTGGGCAGATGAGACAGTAAGCGCAATGCAGGGAGGAAGGGCTTCGGCATTTTATATCACAGGGAGTTTTTTGTTCTCCAGGGTGTTTTCCTGGTCTTCATTTACTTTTGCTCCCAGTCATATAAAATAAAAAAAATTAAAAAAAAAACAAGGGCCTAACCTGTGTGTCCCAGGAGAGGTATGCCATTCACACTGTTTAATAAAGCGAGTAGAAACTCGAAAGCCAGGTCACTTCCTGTTGGGAGATTCACGCGGGGACAGTGAGGGCTGGAGGCGCGTCTCTTCCGGTGCGCCCGACAATGCTTCTCACAGCTTGTCCCGTGCGGTCTTAGGCAGGGAAGTTCTGGGCAGGCACGGAGCGGGCCAGGCGGCTGACAGAGCACGGGTGCTCCCCGACAGCCCCCCACGGTAGCAGAGTCTCCGAGGGCCCAGCGCCCACAGCACCCCGATGCGGTCCTCACTTCTCTCCGGAAGCAGCGGGATTCTTGAAGACCTCGGCGTCCTCTGGCTTAAGGGACCCCGCAAACTGCCTCAGGTGCACTTCCTCAGGCTGGGCAGAGTGTCTGTCCCGGGTACTTGCGTCTCTTAAAAGGGGAACCAAGGCAAAGTTCTTCCAGTTTCTACCTGAAGCTGAACAGTAAAATACCATCACTACCTTGGAGGCAGCAAAACAAACATTTACCTGCCGGCCTCACAAGTCTCCAGACAAAAGGAGGCCCCGGGCTGCGAGAGCTTCCTGAGGTACCGGGATCCCTGCAATGTCCTCTTCCCTAGGCTTTTCAAGGAGCCTCACTCACCCTGCTGGCCCCTTAAATTCTCTTCCTCTATCCCACCCTGACTTGTTTGTGACCTCAAGAGAGTCCATCTCTTGCCTCTCTCGGCCTCCATTTCCTCCCTGCCCGGCGGGAGGGAGAGGAGTTCTCCACAGAGCAGCGCCGGGACTGCCCTGTGAGTGGCTCCACACCGATCCAGGTCGGGGTGATGAACACCAACCAAAGAATACGGATGTGGGGTCCAGGCCCCACCAGGGCATAGCAGATTGGGAACAATGCCACCCTTGGGACACAGCAAAGGGACACTGAGTCTCGCATGGGGACATCAAGTGTGGTCTGAAATCCCAGGAAGCTCCTGAGGAAAACCCAATTGTCTTCCCCGGAGTCACCTCTGGCCTCTGGCCACCTCAGACAGGTGGCAGCCAAGTGGGAAGGCTGTGTGTGCTCCCCTTCCATTTGCCACAGCCCTGGTCAGCCAAGCCCTCTGGTGGGCCACCTTGAGTCAGATCTCTCTGGAAAACCAGCCTAAACGCACAACCTCCCAGCCTCCGCCCCTCTGCTGGTGTCCAACACTGGCCACATCTCAAAGGCACCACAATGCCAGAGGCTGGTCCCGTCCTGAGTACTCTAGCTGAATTCTGCAGGTCCTGGTGTTTCCCCAGCCCAGCAGGCGGACACTGGCCTGTCTGACACCAAGCTCCAATCGCTGAAGGACTAGCCCTCTGGGAACCCGGGCATAGTAGCAGGAGGGCTCTGTGGGGACACAGGCCAGCTGGGACACTGTCTACTGGCTGGCCGGGTGTTTGACACCCAGCCTCAGGGACTACGTGGCCTAGCCCTGGTTCAAGGGCTCTCAGAGTCAGCACAGGACATCTGGTGCCCACGTCCCACAGTTCTGATGCCTGGACAGCTTCACATCCTCCCACTCCCTCTTCTACTAACCTTTTCTCCCCTGGCCTTTCTCTCACGCATCCCCCTATCCCCTTTCCAATCACACACCGTGTTTGGTGGGGACAGGAGAGGTCCTTGTCCTCTGAGTTATCTGACTATTCATTACTGGAGTTTCTACTGTTACAAAGTCGAGTAAGAAAGCAAGATCCTCAGGCAATATTCACTAATTAATTATAAGCCTGAAATCAGACAACCTCCAACCATCCTCCATCCCTGACCCAATTAACATGGATGGGTGTGTTGAGCAACTGGCTCAATGTCTTTAGTAATATCACAGTGAATGTATGTGTTGTTGTGAACTGCCAACAATGTCATGCAAACATAATACAAATCAACTGCAAAGTGAAACAGCAAACCTTGAAAAAGATGTGGGATTTCATGAAATCTATGAGATTGACATGAGAAAACTGCTTAAATCACATGCAACGCCATCTTCAAATACCTCTCTGGCAAAGTTAGACCAGTTAACTATTGAAGGAGAGATAATCTATAAGTATTATGATGCAACACAGGGAGTGCTTCTAATTAGACTCATAGAAAAATCCCAGGTGTGCAGGAAGCCTGTGGAAAAATGGGTGAATACCTTGAGCAGTTTTCCAGTTTTATGAGCCTTTGATAAAAACAGACTTTCACTTCCAGCTATAATGGAAAATCTAGTACTGAGCCAGCCATCCTGCTATCAACAACTATAAAACTAGGCAAAATACACGCAGCAAATGTTTTTAGGCAGAGGACAACAGACAGCGGAAAACTGCACCCCCCTCCCAGAGTGAAATTCACAAGGTGAGCCCTGTGATCACCCTGACTTTCAGTTTCAGGGCAATTTCCCCAACTACAGCACAGTGAGCTGCAGTCCAAGCAGAGCATGGAATTGCCTTTGAAGTGGGGAGAAAGAAACCAGAGTGTTGGGCAGCTGAAGCAGGCAGAATGCATGGGGCTGAGCACAGGAGAAGAGGAAGAAGGAGTTATGGGAGTAGAAGCCCAGAAATCTTTGGGGCAAGCAGATTCCCCACAAGTCCTTGGCCAAGAGCTGGGCTGTGCTTGTTCACGGTGTGACTGCAGGAGGATTATTAGAAAGTGGCTGCTATGGGGTTGAAAGTGGGACAGAGACATGAAGGGTTGAGCAGTATTGGGGGATATTGGAGGTCTAGCCCAGCCAGAGTGGAGAGACCTCGTTAACACCCTTTAAACACTCTGAGGATCAAGGTAAGATACTAGAAAGACCCCACTTAGAAGTGAGAACCACACCCTAGAGTAAGGATCATGCCCTAGAGCAAGGCCTACTCAAGACCTACTCCAACAAAACCTAAAACCAAGCCCAGGCAAGATCCTCAGTGGAGACAGAGTTTGGAGATTGTGTCCCCCAAGTTTGATGTGCTTGGAAAATGCCTTAGGGTGTTCACGGGCCTGCCATAATGAAGTTTAAAGCTAAGCCTACACAAGTTCAAGGTGATTTCATCAGTAACTGAACTGCCAACTGAACAAAAATTCAATATTCTTTAAAGGAAGGTAACAGAATCCAGAGTCTCTACAGTGTATTATCTACAATACCCAGTATACTATTTTAAAATACTATGATTTAAAAATACTAAATATGCAAAGAAACTATGTGACCCATAGTCAGGAAAAATAGCAATCAATAGACACTGACTCTAAGACAGCCCAGATGTTGGATTTAACAGACAGAGAATTTAAAGCAGCTATTATTCCTGGCAAAGATACTGCTGCCTTGACCTGGACATTCACCTTTACCCCAGAGGCTGAGGTACAAGGGCACAAGAAGGTTGACCAGCACCTGTAATACCAACTTTATTTATTTTTAAATCTGAAAGTGTCTTGGGAAAGATTTACAAAAAAAAAAAATCAACAGAAATAAGTTATGAAAAAAATAAAAATAAAGCAGCTATTATAAGTATGTTCAAAAGACTAAAAGAAAATATGGTCTTAATGAGGAATCAGCTAGGGAATCTCAGCAGAGAAATGGAAAACATAAAAAAGAACCAAATAGAAATTCTAGAATCAAAAAGCACAATACCTCAAGTGTAAAATTTGGTAGGTGGGCTTAACAGCAATTTGAAGATGGCTAAGAAAAGGGTTAGTGAACTTGAAGACAGATCAAAAAAAAAAATTATCAAATTTGAGAAATAGAGAAAAAATTTGAGGAAAAATGAACAAAGCCTCAGAGACCTATGGGATAGTATCAGATGGTCTAACATATATGTAATTGGAGTCCCAAAAGGAGAAAATAGGGAGAATGAAGCAACATATATATATAGCTTTCCAAATTTAATTAAATATATTGATGTATAGATCCAAGAATTTCAGCAAACCCCAAGCAGGATAAAAACAAAGAAATTCATACCTATTCATACCTTCACACCTTAGTCAAACTGCTGAAAACCATAAAACAGAATATTTTGAAAGCAGCCAAAGGAAGAAAAGATACCTTACATACAGGAAAACAACAGTGCAAATAATGATGACTTGTCTTCAGAAACAAGGGAGGCCAGGAGACAATGGAGAAACAGAATGTGTTGAAATTAAAAACAAACAAACAAACAACAACAACAACAAAAACAACAGCTGCTAACCCAGAACTCTATATCCAATGAAACAAACATGAGGGTAAATCAGACCTTTTCAAATAAACAAAAGCTGATGTAAAATAAATCTATAGTGATAGCAGTTAAACAAATAATGGCCTGGGATGGGGGAGTCAAATTGGCTACCAAGGGTCACAAGGTTCTTTCCTGCAAAATGGAAATGTTCTATATCTTGAGTTGGGTGGTGGTTGAGCATGTACATTTGTAAAAATTTATAAAACTGCACATTTAAAATGTGTTCATTTTATATGTAAATTATTTAATACATCTCAATAAAGATGATTTTTAAAAGTTTGTAAAATATAAAAATGATCTTCTCTATGAAGCAGTATTAAATATGAAAGGTGAAGTATCATAATATCAGGTTAATCGGTCTGAAAAATTATGTCCCTTCCCCCACCGTGCCAAAAAAAAGCAAAAAACAACTATTAACATTTGATTCATTCTTTGTTCAAGAATTAGTTCAGGCTGGGCGTGGTGGCTCACGCCTGTAATCCCAGCACTCTGGGAGGCTGAGGCAGGCGGATCATTTGAGCTCAGGAGTTCGAGACCAGCCTGAGCAAGAGCGAGACCTCGTCTCTACTAAACATAAAAGAAATTAATTAGCTGAATTAATTAATTAAAATAAAGAAATTAGCTGGACAACTAAAAATATTTAGAAAAAATTAGCCAGGCATGGTGGCACATGCCTGTAGTCCCAGCTACTCGGGAGGCTGAGGCAGGAAGATGGCTTGAGCCCAGGAGTTTGAGGTTGCTGTGAGCTAGGCTGACGCCACGGCACTCACTCTAGCCTGGGCAACAGAGTGAGACTCTGTCTCAAAAAAAAAAAAAGAATTAGTTCAAGAGTGACATCAGCAAAATTGCAAAGTAGATAGTTCCAAATACCCATTTCTCCACAAAAACATCAAAAAAACCAAGCAGAAACTTCATACCCAACTTTGTCAGAACTCTGGAAAAGGATTCAAGTTTCACAGTAACCAAGAAACTGCCAAATCAAGAAAAAAGCAACTTTAAAATGGTAGGGAGCTAAAGCTATAAAACTCATAGGAAACAACATAGGAGGAAATCTTCATGACATTTAATTTGGCAGTGATTTTTTGGATATGACACCAAAATAACAGGCAACAAAAGAAAATATTAGGTAAATTGGAATGCATCAAAATTAAAAACTTTTGTGCATCATAGAACTCCCTCAAAAGAGCACAAAGACAACCCACAGAATAGAAGAAAATATTGCAAATCATACATCTGATAAAGGATTAATACCCAGAATATATAAAGAACACCTACAACTCAGCTACAAATAAACTGCCAAATTTAAAACAGACAAGGGGCTTGAATAACTATTTCTCCAAATAATATCTACAAATAGCAAATATGTGCATGATAAGATACCCACTATCACTTGGCAAAATGCAAATCAAAACCACAATGAGATATAGTACCACTTCACACCCACTAGGATGTTTTTAATTTTTAAAAAAAAAGGCAAGAAAGAATGAAAAAAAAAAGAACAAGTGTTGGTGAGGATGTGGAAAAATTAGAACTCTTGTGCATTGATGGTGGAAATGTAAAATGACGCGGCTGCTTTGGAGAACAATTTGACAGTTCTTCAAAAAGTTAAACAGAATTATCCTATGATCCAGCAATTCAACTCCTGGGTATAGACCCAAAATCACTGAATGCAGGGAATCAAACAGTATCTTGTACACCAGTGCTCATAGCATTATTCACAATAGCCAAAAAGGCAGAAACAACCCAAATGTCAATCAACAGATGAATGGATAAACAAAATGTGCTCTAATCAGCACCTAAGTGGACACATAGGTGTCTACAGTAATAGGTATTGGGTGGAGGGGGGAGGGGCGGGTATATACATACATAATGAGTGAGATGTGCACCATCTGGGGGATGTCATGCTGGAGACTCAGACTTGTGGGGGAGGGGAAATGGGCATTTATTGAAACCTTAAAATCTGTACCCCCATAATACGCAGAAAAAATGTGCTCTATCCACGCAATGGAATATTATGCAGTCAGACACAAAAGGACAAACATTTCACGATTCCACCAATATGAGGTACCTAGAACAGACAAATTCATAGAGACCGAAAACAGAATAGAAGTTACCAGGGGCTGAGGGGAAGGGGGAATGGAGACTTGCTGCTTAGTGGGTACCGAGTGTCAGTTTAGGATGATGAGAAAGTTCTGGGAATAGTGGTGAAGGCTGCACAACAATGTCGATGTACTTAATGCCATTGAATTATATACTTAAAAATGGTTAAAATGACAAATTTCATGTGATATATATTTTACCACAATTGTTTTAAAAACCAAAATAAAGAATTAGTGTACAGTTGTAATTATAATTCAAAATTTGTTCAGTATAAACTATGTTTACTTCATTTTAAATAAATGTTCTCTAGACTTTTTAATTCAATGTTTATGGTTAAATGTTTACCAATAACTGTTAAATGACTTTCTTTCTGGTGGTCATTTTCTCTCCCCGCCTTGTCTGGACGTGTCCATGAGAGGTCAGAGTTCACACGTGCCTGTTCGCGTCCATGCGGCCTCCCAGAGCCATGATGTGACGTGCACTCGTGGGGTGTGGGGGACAGGCGGGGGAGGCAGGGCAGCCCGTGTGAGCTGGCCACCCCAGGTGGCTGCATGTGGGCTGAGCTGCCTCCCCTGGGGCACTGGGGACAGGAGCCTGGGCCAGCTGTTGGCACAGTGGCTGGCACGGGCTTGCTGAGCCGTCAGCCACGCCGACACGTGCAAGGCACACGCGAGTGCCCGTGACTGAGTGTGTGCACATGGCTGCCATCAGGGGCTGTGACAGAGCCCTGGGGTAGGGGCGGGGATGGGGCGTGAGGAAGCCTGCAAGGAGTGGGGGATCCACGAGGTGCCACCTGCCCAACCTCAGGCCACCAGCCTCCGTGCCACGGCACCCGCCCCTCACGCCTCACCTCTGCCTGGCCGCAGGGAGAAGCTCAGGGTGCGCTTCACGCCCTCGCAGTTGCCCGGGTCTTCGTTGATGATGCCCACGTTGGTATTCCAGGTGGTCCAGTTCACCTCATCCACTCTGCAGGGTGAGGGGACGGGGAGCAGGGAGCTGGCGGGCTGGGAGCCATGCCCCGCGTCCCAGGCCCAGGGCTCAGCCCCACGGGCCAATCCTCAGAAGCCCACAGAGCAGGATGGAGGCCCGGCTGGCGGGGAAGGGCAGACAGGGCCTTGCTTTTTGGACACCACCCCTGAAGATGTGTCCTCTGACCACACATTGAGGCCAGGGGACTTTAAATATTCGGTTCCTGGTTCTGACCCCACTCACTAGGTGACCCTTTCTGGACACCTCAAATTTTCCAATATTTAATGTCTGCGTCCCACCAGCCGAGATGCAAGGTGGGTCCCCGGTGCCCACAGCTGAGCCCCGGAGCTCTCCAGGCTTGGACTCCTGCTTGGGCCTTACCTGAAACACCACCTGTAGTCGTCCTTGCCATCGGGTGTGTACCCCACCTGCAGCAGCTTGCCCGAGCGGAAGGCCTTCCGCATGCACTTCAGGAAGCTCTTCTCTGTGTCCAGGATGGTGATGGCTCTCTACGGGACAACAGGACAGGCAGGGTCCGAGGGCTCGTGCAGGGGCAACGCTGGCTGCTGGTGCTGGCTGCCAGGACCAGCCCCACCAAGGTCTCTCCCAGCCCCAGACGCCTCCGAGCTGGACCTCCAGTGCCCTCTGCCCTAGGTTTGCCTGGTGGGGACACACTCCATGAAAGGAGCACAGCCTGTCCAGCCTCGGACCTGCCCAGGCACGGCTGGTGCCTGCCGGTTCTGGGCAGGGCAGCCTGAAGAGGGACATGGAGTGTCCCAGCCCCTTCCCTGAGGAGCTTGCAAGGGACAACATAGGGCAGCAGTTAAGAGCAGGGCCTTAAAGTGGGACCACCTGGGCCAGGTCCTGGTTCTGCTGCATACCAGCTGTGCGGCCTTGAATACAGACACCTAAACCCTCCATGCCTCAGTGTCTTTATCCAAAAACGGGATAGTAATAGAATCTACTTCATTGGACTGTTGCAAGGATTAAGTGAGATCGGGTAAGACACTTCGAACGGTACCTGTCATAGAGTACGTGCTACTTAATGAGAATGATACTTTTATTGTCGTTAGCTGGGGAGGTAGAAATGGCCCATGTGGCACAGAGAGGTGGCTGTCAGGGCCCTGCCCCATATTATCTGCTCCCCTGAGCCTGGTCCCTGGAGCCTGCTCTGGACATGGTAGCCCCCATCTCCTTCCCCGTGGGACCACCCAGCCCACAGGCAAGCGCAGTGTCTGTGAATGCCATCTGAGCTCATCTGACACTGAGCAGATGGCGGTGGCAGGGGAACCTGCTGGAAGGGAGTCCCCTGAGGGAGATGCTAGCGCCTGATTGATTCCTGGGCGTGGCCGGGCTTCCTGCCCCCTCCCCAGCTGTGCAGGGCGGCAGACAGAGCAGCCAGCACCCTCCTGGCTGCTCACCCCACCAACCGGCCCACCTGCAGCTTCCAGATGTTCTTGCTCTCCTGCGCGATCTTGTTAACAGTCTCGCCCATGAGGGCGATGAGCATGTTGAGCAGGAGGATGTAGGTGAGAATCACGTAGGCCAGTAGCAGGATGATGAAGACAGCTTTGAAGTCGTAGTTCTCGGTGAACTCCAGGTCGCCCATGCCGATGGTGAACTTGAACAGCTCCAGACACGTGGAGTACAGGCTGTTGTAGGAGCTGTCGGATGGCCTGCAGCTGTGCCCCCGCCCCTTGTGCGATGTAGACTCAGTCGACACGGAGCTGTTCTTCCCGTCCTCGATCAGTGTCACCACCGCTATGGGGCACAGGGAGGGAGGCGTGCAGCTGGATGAAAGCCAAGACCCCAGGCGCCCTGACATCCATCCCCACTACCCCAGGATGGGTCTGCAGCAGGCATGATGCTCAGTCAAGTGGTGCTTTTGTGGGAATTTTTTAAAGCACCCCTTCTTAAAAACTATCAAAGAGTTGTTATAATACACTGTTTTGTTACAAGAACTTTATCATCATCTGCTAGAAAAAATGTTAAAATAAATATACAAATCTCTATATACAATATGAATACAGCCACTTTTGTGCAACGCACAACATGCTTAACCTTCCATGTCAGCCCTGGCTCCATACCCACTTTGTCGGGCACACTCTGCCTGCCTGTGTCCCTTAGAGGCCCATTCCAGAGCCATGGATTCTGAGTAACTCGAAGCAGAATGGTCTATCCCACATTCTGCACTTTTTTGGAGGAAGTATAGCCCAGAGTTTGAGTTCTGCACTTTTTTGGAGGAAGTATAGCCCAGAGTTCTGTAGAAGTTGTGCACCATGGTAGTATCGGTATCCACTAACCCCCTTGGCCAAGTCCCCACTGATATGCAGCATCTTCAGATCCAGGTGCCAGAGCCCACACCTACCAGGTCCCTCCTGGTCACAGCTGCCCACCCCTCCAAGACAGAGATTCCAAAACAAACCGCAGTGTGGGATAGGGGAGGGTGCACCATGTGAACCATGTTACTGAAGGACTTGAATGAGGATCAAAGCAGAGTTGTGTCCTCAAAAAATGTTGTGGATGCGCCCAAAGAGCACAGGAGCCAGCCTGAGGGGGCTTCCAATGACTAAATCTCAGACAACTTGAGCATCAAAATAAATGATGACAGTAAAGATTATAACCCATTTAACAAAGTGGAAATCCATGGGGGGAAAAAAAACAATCCATGAGGCCATTCTGATACAAATATGTAAATAGATATAGGGGGATGGAAGGCTCTTCCTCCTAATAGAATGTCAGCCAATAATGTGGAAGGAACAATGGAGTCACAAAATCAGCATTCGGCCACCATCATCGGATTAAGTGATTCAGTAGGACTCAATGGATGGATCAATGGATGCTCTCACTATTGGGTGAAGTGCACAACTTCTACAGAAGATCTCAGACTCTGGGCTATACTTCCTCCAAAGAGTGCAGAATGTGGGAATAGACCATTCTGCTTCGAGTTACTCAGAATCCATGGCTCTGGAATGGACCTCTAAGGGACACAGGCAGGCAAGTGTGACCGA